TGGAAGCCCCAACCCCAACCCCAACCCCAACCCCAAACCCAACCCTTAACCCAACCCCAACCCCAACCCCAAACCCAAACCCAAACCTAAACCCAAACCCAAACCCCAAACCCACATTTCCATTTTAAATTAAAAGCATTCAAATATCGTTTTGAATAAAGAAGCAACAAAATAATCATTGAAGGACAAGCCGTTTACAGCATCTTGAGTTGTAGCAATAAAATTTTATCAGGTGAGAATTCTAAACTGTAGAATATGTTTCAGTAGACGCCGCTACTTATATAATATTTTAATCATCATCCAATATAAGAAACAAGAAGTAAGCGTAAAACGCAAATCTTAATATTAAGTCCATTGCTTGCATGTTTTCAAATCGCAAACCATTATTTTTTGTTTCTAGTTGATAATAGCAAATCATAATTAACATGAATCAGAATATATAATCTTCAAAACTTTAAGAGATTTGAATTATGGTGTGCATGTTCAAACGTGTTTGAAGTATTTGTAATTGCCATCGTTAACAAAAGCATAAGGATGGTAGACAGATGAGCTCTAGTACTTGAGAGGCTGCCAGTATAAGTTTTTAACATGGTTAGGAATAATAACAATTAGATATTGATATACATTTCGAAACTCTAAACATACCTTAAGCAACAGTTGATGTGATATATTCTAAACAGAAATAACCAGTTATTTGCTACATAGAGCAAACTGATCAAATTTAATGTATCCTTATTAGATCCAATCGAAGTCTATTAGAGCTGAAAATATTTATTGCATAAAGGAGACAGAGACTTAATAATAAGGTTGAAATCCCCGTTTTTAAGTATTTTTATAAATGAGATTAATGCACTAATCATTGCTTCTTGATTTAAGTATGCGGCTACATGCATAATCAGCAATAAAATACACAGTACATTAATCACAAGAGCATTAAAGAAATATCTTCTATAAGATTATTTTGTGCTATTATTTCATCAATCAATGAAAGCGGCACCACATCCTGTTAAAATAACACATAATATTTCAAGTAGACTTTAAAAAAAGCCTAAATTATAATATGAAGATATATCACATTTTCCATGTACAACTCCATAATACAGAAAAATGAAAACACCTTGGTAAGCAGACACAACAATCGATAGTTATGCAAGATATCTAAAGTTAACTTCACATATTAATCTATGAGTACTTCTTCATAGTCCAATTTAAAGCTGCTTTAGGAATGTATTATAACTGCTGACGATGTGCTCCATTACTCAGTCAAATATAAATATGAATTGCTTGTGATATTGTTCTTTATTGGCTATATAGTATATCAAATCGACTCTAATAACAACCATCCATAAATGTTCTTCAAAAACATGCTTATGCCAGCTACTGAAAATTATCACTGATGGTGATTAAAATGCTGAATATATTTCCACTATGTGCTTCTTTGTTTATTCCCTGTGCGAAGTGTAAGACATGTTGAAATTGAGCCAGTCTTGGTGAAATCATGGTTTACAAAAACATAAAAAAACAAGATTCAATTTTTGGCTATCTAAAATTTCTGTGCTGCTTGTGAAAGTCTAATGAATCATCCTTCTTTTCTTGGTATTTAAACTTTATAGCTAATTATATTTCATTAGAGGCTAATGCTCCAAATACTTGCACTCAATGTACTCTATATTATGCAAAGTTGGATGTTTTAGAATTCTTATATCTATACTTGAATTTGAGTCGTTACAGCATCGTCCTTTATATAGAAGGGTTTTATATATTATACTGATGGTTTTGCTGATACAGTCTAATATGATCAGTTTGATTTAACTGACATTCTATTAATTGAGAAATATAATTCATCTTAATTAAATTGGAACTGCATCCTAGTAAATTACTGTAATTTAAATTTCAACAATAATGATTAAGCAAGGTGAGATGGGTGATGTTTAGAAATAATTAACTTTGCAGGCTGGTACAACTAACAAATGCAAAAGATGTTTGAAAAAGTATGAGCTTTATTACATGAACTGCTGATATAATTTATGCACATTTAATAAATAAAGATTAACATTAGATACAGTGGCAACACATTAAACGAACATAGGATTTGTGTTATATTAAAAAAATTAGCTGTTGCGTGCATTATATATGAGAAAAATACTGAATTGAGTGTTTATTCCACCTCAATGAAAAAAATTTAATTAATTTAATTCCACCTCAATCAATTCAAGAAGTATTTTATGAAATGGAAAAAGCAAATTTTTCATGATATAAACGATGAAGCGTTAAGTTACTATTATACATACAATTTATATATCCGATTATTGCAAGTAATTTAAAATTTTAGAAACAACTTATAATAAACCATTTCCCAGTTATATCCCCTACTTAATTCCCTATGCTTTGCTATTTTATTGACTATTTCATTCCTCATAATACTCCCTATAATTTTCCAATATCATTGCCAATTTCATGACATATTTCATCGCCTGTATGATTCCCTATTTCATCACATATTTAATCGCCTACTTCATCTACTAAAATCCTAAAATAGGTATTCCAAAATAGGGTTCATTAAAATTGTAAATTTTTCATGGACTCGACCCTATTATTGGCTTCTTTAGAGATATTCTTAGCCAGTCTTTACCAAACTCTTACTTTGAAGGAATAATATAAATGTAGAAGAGAACTAAGTTATTGATAATTAGCTTTGAAATCTTGTAGATAATGTGGAAATATTGTTAATAATTTGTTTTATGTTTTTATCTATATTCAAAAAGATTAAAGCTTTGAGCAAGTTTCTTTTGTGTTTTTATTATTATAAAATATATCCACAACTAATCTTAAAATAATTTGATTTTCTTTAGATATAAGTTAACAAGTTACTTTTTTGGTTTATAGTATTAAAGTGTAAATAAAGGAATAGAAATCAATTAATTTATAAAAAAAGAAATGGATTGCAAAACAGAGTAGAATGACAATTTGTCTAAGATTTTGGCAACAGTTAAAAATTTTGATATCTAATGCTACCCTATTCTTATTAACATGTTTAAGAGAGGAAAAATCACAAACACATTGAAGAATTTAAACCCTCAAAAGCTCGAGCAGGGAATTAAAAATATTGATCTCTTCATTAATATTCTCAAAAAAATAAGTGAGCTTGACTTTAATAAAAAGAACTTTTTAAAAGTGGATTAAGAATAAATAAGAAAAGAATTGATTATAAAGATTGGTTAAGATAGACAGATCATTGAATTTTTGAAATTCCTCGTACAAATGACAGCCTTTGATGAGAAATTTATTTAATGTGGATCTAATTCACTCAATTTTTTAGTAGAAATGAAAGTGGATTTGAAGGAATAAAATTTTGAGAATATCAGGATTAAAGATACGTCTTTAGCTGGAGGAAATTTTGTTAGATGCAATTTCAATGAGTCAGAATTTGATAATGTAGATATTAGTGGAATTAACTTGAATTAAGCATAATTATTTAATTGTAAATGGAAGAATATAAAAATACATGAGTTAAATATATTAGATGGCCATTCAAATTAAGTTAATTCAATTTGTTTCTCTCCTGATGGTACTTTATTAGCTTCTGGTAGTTGTGATAATTCTATCCGTTTATGGGATGTTTAGACAGGAAAATAAAAAGTGAAAATAGATGGTCACCGCGATTATGTAAATTCAGTATGTTTCTCTCCTAATGGTACTACATTAGCATCCGGTAGTGATGATTAAACTATTCGTTTATGGGATGTTAAGACAGGAAAATAAAAAGCCATTTTTATTGGTCATTCAGATTTTGTGTATTCAGTCAATTTCTCTCCTGACAGTACTATATTAGCATCTGGTAGTGTAGATAAATCTATCCGTTTATGGGATGTTAAGACAGGATAATAAAAAGCCAAATTAGATGGCCATTTAGATTATGTTAATTCAGTCAATTTCTCTTGTGATGGTACTACATTAGCATCTGGTAGTTGGGATAATTCTATCAGGTTATGGGATGTTAAGACAGGAAAATAAAAAGCCATTTTTATTGGTCATTCAGGTTGTGTGTATTCAGTCAATTTCTCTCCTGAAAGTACTATATTAGCATCTGGTAGTGAAGATAAATCTATCCGTTTATGGGATGTTAAGACAGGATAATAAAAAGCCAAATTAATTGGTCACTCAGGTTATGTTAATTCAGTCAATTTCTCTCCTGATGGTTCTACATTAGCATCTAGTGAGTTCAGATAACTCTATCCGTTTATGGGATGTTAAGTCAGGATAATAAAAAGCCAAATTCGATGGTCATTTATCAAGTGTTTTGTCAGTCAATTTCTCTCCTGATCATACTACATTAGCATCTGGTAGTGTAGATAAATCTATCCGTTTATGGGATGTTAAGACAGGATATTAAAAAGCCAAAGTAGATGGTCATTTATCAACTGTTGTGTCAGTCAATTTCTCTCCTGATGGTACTACATTAGCATCTGGTAGTTCAGATAATTCTATCCGTTTATGGGATACCAAGACGGGATAATAAAAAGTCAAATTGGATGGTCATTCAGGTTACGTTAATTCAGTCAATTTCTCACTTGATGGTACTATATTAGCATCTGGTAGTTTTGATAATTCTATTCGTTTATGGGATGTTAAGACAGGATAATAAAAAGCCAAATTAGATGGTCATTCAGAAACTGTTACTTCAGTCAATTTCTCTCCTGACAGTACTATATTAGCATCTGGTAGTCATGATAACTCTATCTGTATATGGGATGTTAAGACAGGATAATAAAAAGCCAAATTAGATGGTCATTCTTAAACAGTTTATTCAGTCAATTTCTCTCCTGATGGTACTTTATTAGCTTCTGGTAGTTGGGATAAGTTAATCCTTTTATGGGATGTTAAGACAGGATAATAAAAAGTCAAATTAGATGGTCATTCTTAAACAGTTTATTCAGTCAATTTCTCTCCTAATGGTACTTTATTAGCTTCTGGTAGTGGGGATAATTTAACCATTTTAGTGGGATGATTAAGACTGGATAATAAAAAGCTAAATTAGATGGTCATTCATCAACAGTTTATTCAGTCAATTTCTCACCTGATGGTACGACATTAGCATCTGGTAGTGAAGATTAGTCTATCTGTTTATGGGATGTTAAGACAGGATAATAAAAAGCCAAATTAATTGGTCATTCAAATGGAATTCTTTCTGTCAATTTCTCTCGAGACAATACTACATTAGCATCTGGTAGTTTCGATAATTCTATTCGTTTATGGGATGTTAAGACAAGATAGTTAAAAACCAAATTAGATGATCATCCTGCCACAGTTAATTCAGTCAATTTCTCTCCTGATGGTACTAAATTAGTATCTGGTAGTAATGATAACTCTGTCCATATATGGGATGTTAAAACAGGATAATAAATCCTATCTTCAGATAATCGTTATAAAGACATCCTTGCATAATTTTAACCCAATAATTTTACAAACAACCTTCTTCAAAACAATGGTATTTTTTGTTCATTAACTACCCTTTTGATATCATAATAGCTTATATTTTAATCATAAGGAGCTCTAATTTTGAAAGGTGAATTTATTAATCATTCAGGCATAAACTTGAAGACATTATTTTATTAACGAGGAAGTTGCATATTAGAAAACTAAATTGGATTACAATAAAAACAATAATGATTATTATTAACAATTATGCAATTAAATTTATCCAATTTCATAATATTATTTAAGATTTCTTGGACAAAACAACTATATTTTCCTCCACTTTTGTAATCTTATGGAATATAGATAAAATAAATTTTCCAACAATTATGAAATAGACCCTTTATAAGATTTGATTAAAAATGAGTTTATAGTTTTATAATGTAGGAGTTAAGAGAAGAAAAAACGTTTTTTTATCTTTCACTAGGAGGCTATAAAGTAGGAGAGGTGATAGAAAACGCTGAGCTATACAGAAGCATTTGTTAGTACACCTACTCTAAGTTATTAATTAAATTTATCCTTGTTATAATAAGGGAATCTTTTTCTTTGCCATTATTAGAGTAGTGAGGCGAGTTGTCCTGATCAATCACCTTATTATACCTCCACCTCTATTTTAAAAGGTAATTCAATTAATGCCATATAGTTTTATTTTTGTAACTTCTTAGCTTTCAAATATATCTATATATATTCCCTAAATTTTGCGCCTCTTATCCTTGCTCAAACTTGAAGCTATTATTCATAAAGATATTCAACCGTAGGTTATCCTTACTCCTATTGATACTTCTGATAAGTATAGACTAACTTCTGTATTCAGATAAAGGAATCTCTTGAAAATTTCTTTTGTGGCTTTATAAAAGATTTCAATAATCGATTGGGGTTGTAGATATATTTAGTAAAAATGGATAGATTCAAAATAACTTATGGTATTTCACAATTTTCACATTTAATTAAACTCAATTTAATAAATAACTAAAAATCTTCCATTTAATTGATATTAATTATTGTCAAACAATATAAAATTTTACTTTACTTTGAATGTTTAGATTTTTTATTGATAGAAATTTACTTAACAAAAAAAAGAAGACATATTAAATCAAATAAATCAATTTAAAGAGGGTTGAAATATAAAAAAAATTAAGACTAATCTTATTAACATATTGAATACCTTATCCACCTCTATCCCTTTATTGTGGAAACAACTTTTAAGGAAATCGTCTTGTATACTTAAAGGAGTTTTGCAATGGTTTTTGAATATATCTAATGTTATAACAGAAAATACTAAACTAAACTGTGTTATGATAAGATGCCTAAAAGCATTCCATTTGGAGAGGCTATTTGGGAACCTTTCAAGATTTTCTTATTAAGATATCCCAAATTATTAGCTACAAAGTATGATAAATCAAATTTAATGAAGGCGAATTATTATTGAATTCTCCTATTAATGTGAATAAGTAATAGTGGTCATAGCAAATAGCCAACTCATATGTTTCATTGAACAGTATGCTACTGCAAATACACCATATTTAAATATATATATCCTTCATTCTTCAAAACATATTTAAACCAATTGCTTTAGAACACGAAACTACATGTTTATTTCAATTTTTTGCTATAACTGTACTATTTTAGCAGAGAACTCACTTTGAGGAATTGATGAGGATTTTGACCACTCTTTTTCTAATTTTTTTCATTTTGTTCAAATTTTGGTAAAGGATCTGAATTACAGTACTATTTTCATAAGCAACTTCTTAAAAAGAAATTCATTTGCAATAGGGAAAGGAATAGTGTGTCTATAAAATTTGAAAAATTAAATTTAATTTTTATAAATGTTAGGAAAAATTGGAAGTTCAAACAAAAGGTTGGGAAATTGGTTTCTGTGTTTATCTAAATAGCTAATCATAAAAATCTAATGCTTCTTCAAATCTACTTGGTTTGGTGGGGTATGGTTAGTAAATAATACATCAACTATGAAGTATTAAAAATTGAATGGCACCTTTGTCCCAATAATAGTCCGAATCATCAGGGTTTATCCAGGTAGCTTAATCATAATGTTCCTAGGCTTCTTGATATCATTCAATTAAGTTATAATTATATGTGATCTCGAGTAATGATAATAGGTAATTGAAAAATATTTATTTTTAAGTAAGTAGAAAACCTAAAAGCTAACCATTATTAAACATCATGCAATCAAAAACATTGGATTCTTTTTATCATGGACTATTGCTAGGCATTCAGTTTTTCCCTCTTCACTTGAAGTTGAAATAAAAACAAAAATTCATGATCCCTATTCAACCAAATATATTTTGCGGTTTAAGATTCATTTAAAAATTATTGTTGGAATATAAGATGTTGAAATAACTTTAAATTGATTCAACAAATAAATGAACAAAAATGTAAGGAGAAAAATAATGGCAACATTATTTTCTATATCTTAATAATTATAAAGATTTTTTTTATATTTAATAAATTTTTCCCTATATATATTTAAAAATCATTCTCATCAGAACATGAGATATCCTAAAACAATTGACATGCCAAGGATGTAACCTGAATCTGTTGTTGTGTTATTGTCTGTATTGTTTGTATTATTGTCTGAAGTATTTGGTTGAACCACAACTGCTGTGCAAACTCCACATTTGCTAGTTGATGCATTCCAAGTATAAGTGTAACCAGAAACTAAGAAACAATCATTTGAAGACAAAGTAGAGGGGTCTGTTGCTGTACATGTACCACTAACAAGTGTACAAACTTATTAAGTCTTTTTGTCCCAATTTAAAAATCTAGTACAAGCACCATTAGTTGCTTAATTTGTAGCGCAAGTGTGAGTAGCACATTTACTAGCAACTGCAGTAGCTCCACTTCCTGAGGGTGGTGTCCATGAGCATCTATCTCTAGCAGCTTAACAAGCAATTTAATCATTATTGGCTGTAGTACAAGATGTCATTAAAGCACAAGTTCCAGTACCAGCAACTGCTCCAGTTGCAGTTGATTATGTGAATACACAAATACCATCTAACCCTCCAGAGTTGCAAGCTATTTTATTTGTATAAGTGGAGCAATTGGCTTTAGGAATGCAAGCAGTTCCATTAGAAACACAAGTTGACAAAGCTACAACACAAACACTGGTTGATGTGCCATTTTGAATGTCAGCACAAGTGAGTAATCTACATTTAGCAGTGTTGTTATTTGTAGCAGATGCAAGTTCCCAATAACAAATGCCATCTGATCCAACAGCAGTTGTGCAGGCAGTTTAAGTAGAGTATGATGAACAGGCTCCTTTGAGTAAACATGTAGTTCCATCTGATGTGCATGTTGAAAGTTGGGATGAGCATGTTGCATGAGTAGTACCAGTCAAATCTGCGCATGTTTAATCTCTGCAACTACTTGCTGTGGTATCCCATGTACAAAGTCCAGTAGAAACGATGGCTCCAGATTACAATACAGCTCCTTTATCATTGAAATAGCATCCAGCTTAAGAAGTGTATGATGAGCAAGCACCTAATGCAATACATCCAGTTGTTCCATTTGTGGTACATTTGTTACTAGCAATTTAACAATCTGAATGAGTTGTGTAGAAGGCATCTGCACAAGAAGTATATGGTTTGCAAACTTTTGGATCAGATGAATTCAAGGCTGGAACTGATTGAATACAAGCACCATCATAACCTGTAACACAGCCTCCATCAGTATTAGTTTCAGAACATAATGTAATTCCTACACAATTAGATCCATTTGTAGTGCATTTGTTGCTAATCCATTTGCATGATGCATCATTATTCCATTATAAACTTTTGCATGATGTATATCTGAAACAAGCTCCTTTAGTTCCGTCATTATTTGGATACTTATCAATCCATAAGCATGGTCCGTTTGATCCTTCTATGCAAGCTGCTCTTACGGTGGTTTACTCACAATTTTACACTCTTGCGCATTTTCCATTTGCACCAGCAGTACATCCAGCTCTCTAAGTTTAGCATGCTGCATGTGTAGTTCCACTGAAATCCTAGCAATCTTTATCTCTGCATTTATTTTATGCACTATCCCAAGCACAAACAGTACCATTTAAGGCAGTTGTACAAGCGACATCAATAGTAACAGCTGAGCATGAGGATTTAGTAACGCATCCACCTCCATTCTTTGTAGTACAATTTGTGAAATAACTAGCACAAGCTGCTTCGCTTGTTAAAGTTAGAGGTGCAGTACTACAAGTCTTTATTGTACAATATGCAGGGGAAGTAACAACATTTTATGCATTCAAAACAGCTGGTATCCATTCACATTATTACCCTGTTGAAGAAGTGACACATCCTGATTGACTTAAGGCTTGGAAACATGTACCTCTAGTGACACAATTTGTTCCATTTGTTGTGCATGTAGAAATTGCTTATTTACATAGAGCATCTGTAGCAAAAGCAAAATCTTCACAAACTTTGGTTTTGCATTTCACGCTATCCAAAGTACAACCTGATAAATATGTATTGCAATCATCTGCTGTTGCAGTTGAATCAGGAGCATTATCACAAGACTTTGTTATGCAAGCTGTTCCTGTCCAATAGCAAGGATCTCCATTCTTGTTAAGGTTGCATTATTTTTAAGTCATTGTTTCACAAGTTGCAGGGATATCAACACATCCTTGTCCTGTTTCAGAAACTGTGCACTTATTACTGAAATAGGCTCTGCATTTTGTATCATCATCATAATCAGCAGTAGCAGGTGCAGTGGCACATGATTTATCAGCACATTATGTTCCATTCCATCCACATGGATCACCATTTGCATTGATCTAGCATTACTCTTTATCAATGTAACTTGAACAAGCAGCAGTCTATTAGCATCCTCCCAAAGTTGCAGCACCTCCACTATTACTTGGAGTAGCAGCCACTGTACATTTAACAGTTGCTGAAGTATAGTAAGCAAAGCAATCATTATGGGTGGCTGTAGAAGTTGGTGCACTAGTACAAGATTTATCCTAACATGCAGGGGCAGGTAAGTTAGCATTTGTATTCCAAACACACTCTCCTCCATTTGAATTAGTGCGGCATTAATCTTCAATAGTGTATGAACTGCATGACCCTCTAGCCATACATCCTGGAACAGCTGCTCCATTAGTAGCTCTAACAGTACATAATAAAGTGGAGTCAACAGCAACACATTCTGAATGAGAATCATAGGTAGTTGTTGCTTCAATATTTCCG